GGGGGCGACCGAGATAAATGATGGAAAGGGAAGGCCAGAGGGGAAAAGGGAAGAAGAAGAGAAAGGGAGCCGGCGTTATTTTGGGGGAGAACAGAGGGAGGGGAGGTTTCAGGGTCGGGAATTGGGGAATCAAGTGAGCAAGAGAGTGAGTCGCGATGAAATGGTTTAGTGTTAGTGTCGGCCACTAGCAACGCTGACACTCTTCCAAGTTGCCTCCTCTCTCCTCTTCCCCCCCTCTTCTAGCCTACCATTTGCTCAGGGGCCGCCGTCGGTTTTTGAGGGCATCCACCGAGCCTCGCCCCGTCGATCGCTTGCCAATAATCATCCCTATCGCCGATGGGCAGCTGGACAACCAATTACTCCGGTTGCTCGCTCAGTTATCTTCAGTCTATAGAGTACAAATTGTCTAGATCTCGCGATTGAGGGGACACTGATGTCTGATATCTGTCCGCATTGTGAACCATGGAATTTGCCTGATCTAAACCCGAAACCCCGTTCTTTGTTCGAACAGGCACTAGGTATGAACCAGTCTCGCCTGATTAATTATCTTGTAGATAGTAGTAGTTATAACGCCCTTCCAAGTTTCCGCCATCCTAGTCTATTCTGAGTCTACCACCAATTTATTCGGCAGCCGGTCGATCCAACAAGTCCCAAGACCCCGTACGACTGCAAACTTATCGTCATCTGAGCGATCGATCCACTATGAGTTCGCTAGCACTGCAGATGACGGGCAGAAAGAGGGAACAGGGGACGGGTAGACACCAATGATTCGAGAAGAGGACCCAATCCAACATCAAACACTTGACTGCGACATTGACCGCAGCAGGTTGGCTACTTATCTTCCCAGGATTTCAGTATGTTGGTGTGCATTCCACTATGATGCTGACGGAAAGGACTGGAAGAAACTGCCCCTGAATGTAATTTTCATACCTGGCTTGACGCGTTTCAAGTGCCCGAGCGAATATAAGGTAGCACTCTGGTTGGATAACACCTGGAAAGTGAGTGGTATGATTGGTCTTGGCG